TTTTACCTTTTCTATTTTTGTTATTTATCTTTTCTATCTTTTTTATTTATTTTTTTATCTTTTATATACCTCTTTTTATAATTTTGTAACGTAGATAGAATCAAAATATATTGAGAAATTTTGTGTAATAGGAGTGCTGTCTTTACACACTCTTTTTCATGTTTTAATACTAAAAACAAATTAATAAATTTTAATCTTTAATACAATAAGTTAATGATTGTCTTATTATTATAAAATTAATATTTATCTTTATATTTTCTTTTATTAAAACAAGTTACCTGATAAAAATAGTTTGTTAGTTAAACTTCAAATCTTGTAATTCAAGTCACTTTTCATAAATCTTGAATGAGATTAAGAAACTGAATATTAATTTGTGTAGAATTGAATTACTTTTGTTTTTAAATTTGGAAAAGACAGTTAAAGTATTTTTGGATAAGTATATTGATTTGCTATAGCATTATTTTAATATAGTTGTATACTGTAACTTTAAATAAGTAATATTGATTTGTATAATTGTGCACTATAACTTTAAATAAATAATATTAATTTGTATAATTGTGCACTATAACTCTAAATAAGTGATATTTTTATTAGTAATTTATTTTTTATAATATTAAAAATACTAGAACATATGATTACAAGTATAGAAATATTAATATTTTTATATTTAATTAGCAATTCTTATTAGTTAATTACTCTTTTGAACACACTTTTTCAATCTTTTTTTATTTTTAATAGAATTGTTTAACAATTTCTATTGAAATTGGCACAGGCTTTGATATTTATTTTTGCACTAATCAATTTTGTTAGTTTATTTCTCTTTCCCAACTCATATAATTCTCTTACTGAAAGTGAAGAAATCCTTCATTTAAAGTAACTATAATATATTTTGATGCTCCCTCTGTGAATTATTAATTCCTTTTTTTTTCTTTTATTATCATTTAATTAATTCTTTTACTTTATTAAAATTAAATTATCCTTCTTATATAATTCTCTTTGTGAATATTTCATAACTTTTAATTAAAACTTTCTTTATGAATAATTATTACACTTTTATTGAAGAATTTATTAGCTCATATCTCAATACTTATCTGAAAATTTAATATCAAGAAATAACATTTCGAATAACTTAACAATATTATTATTATATTTGCTTTTCACCTTTTGATATAACAACTGAATCCTTAGCCAATTTTCTCATTTGAATTCAAAAATGAGATGCAATATCTGAATTTTTCATTACTAAACAATTATTTGAAGATATTATTAAAGCAAATTTCAATATCTTTGAAAAAAAAGAACTACAAAAATAAGTGATTTAATTATAACTAATGAATTAATAATCAATAATAATGAAGAAGGATCTTCCTTTATAACAACTCAAAAGAAAAAGAACTCACTAAAAAAATACTTCAAGAAAAATTTAAAGAAAAATCTTCTAACTCTGAAATTTGAAAATTACAACTTGAAAAATTGCTCAAATGAGTATATATCAAAAAAATGGAAAATATTGAAAGGATAATTATTTATTACTAGATTGGAAAATTAATCAACAAGTCTTTAAAGAAATACAAACTTCAACAATATAAATTAAAAAGTGAACTTAGTGAATTTCTTGAAATACATATTAAAGAGAAATCTTTCACAATTACTTGAAATATCTATAAAATATTTAATAATAAAAATTAAATTCAATAATAAAAGAATTCTTTAAATATTACTCAAATTTGATAAATGAAGAATCATAAAATTAAAGAATTCTGAGAAAATTTTGTGAAATAAAATCTTTATAGATTAAATATTATATTTATTTTCAAAAATTCTTTAATTAACAAATTTTTCAAAAATAGTAAAAAATATAAAAATCTTTAAAAATAATAACAAAATAAAATCAATAAAAATAATATATATATATTAATTATATAATTATTATTATTATCCATCTTATCTATTTTTTCTATTCTTATTTTTTATTTTTTTTATTTTTTTCTACCTTTTATACCTTTATTTTTTACTCTTTCTATTTTTTATATCTTTATTTTCTATTTTTTCTATCTTTTATACCTTTATTTTTTACTCTTTCTACCTTTTATATCTTTATTTTCTACTTTTTCTATCTTTATTATTTATTTTTTCTATCTTTTTTATTTCTGTTATTTACCTTTTCTATCTTTTCTATCTTTACTATTTATATTTTTTACCTTTTTTTTATTTACCTTTTCTATTTTTTATATATTTCTTTTTATAATTTTGTAATATAGATAGGATCAAAATGTATTGAGAAATTTTGTATAAATAGGAGTGCTATCTTTATAACTCTTTTTCATATTTAAATACTTAAAACAAATTAATAAATTTTAATCTTTAATATAATAGTTAATAATTATCTTATTGTTATAAAATTAATATTTATCTTTGTATCTTCTTCTATTGAAACAAATTGTCTAGCAAAAATAGTTTGTTAATTGAACTTCAAATCTTGTAATTTAAGTTACTTTTCATAAATCTTGAGTGAGATCAAGAAACTGAATATTGAATTGAATTTTTGATTATTACTTTTGTCTTTAAATTTAGAAAAGATAATTAAAGTATTTTTGGATAAGTATATTAATTTGCTATAGTATTATTTTAAAAATATTAATATCTTTATTTTTAGTTAATAACCTTTATTAGTTAATTACTCTTTTGAATATACTTTTCTGATCATTCTTTTTATTCTTGATAGAATTATTTAACAATTTCTGTTGAAATTGGCATAGGCTTAAATACTAATTTTTGCACTAATCAATTTTGTTAGTCTATTTCTTTCTCTCAACTTATATGATTCTCTTATCAAAAGTAAAGAAATTCTTTATTTAAAGTAACTATAACAATATATAATATTGTGTTATAGAATATTTTGATTATAATAATATATAATATAATTTGTAAATCTATTAAATATTCTAATACTGATTTCAAATTTTTAGCAATTACTTCATTTATAATAAATTTAATATTAGTTTTAATTATTATAAAAGTTAAATTATTTTTTATTAATATATAATAAAATTATTAAATATTTATAAAAATATATTAATTATAAAAATAAAAAGTTATTTTGAAGTAAAAAATATAATTAATTGGATAAATTATTTTTATTTTTAAATTCATCAGATTTAAAGTTCAAAAAAATTTTAATACTAGTACAAGATAATCTATTTATAAATAAATATTTTAAATTAATAAATATATATATATAGTATTGAATATAAATCTAAAAGTAAAATTTATTAATAATCTATCATTTGAAAATAAAAAACATATAATATAATTTGAAATTAATAAACTTTTGAATAAGATAATTAAATACTTAAACACAAAGTATCTTGTTTTACAAAAAACTATTATAATATTTTTTTAATAAAATATTAAAGTTTCAATTTGAATCTTTATAATAAGAAGAGAGAGAGAATAATTTAGTAATGAATTTTTATGCAAAAATAAAAAATATAGTACATTGATTGAAGAGAATGAAAAATATTACAGAAATCAATTTCTTATTGAATTAACAAAAATCAAATAAAAATCAGAATATGTGAACTTAACTTTTTATTAGAAGAGCTTAAGCAAAATAAAATTTCTTACTCATCTAGCAATTAATTATCTATATATTAGTTATTTTTTTCCAATTATACATTATTAAATATACTTATAGAAACTTTTGTTGAAGATAAAATTAGTCAAAGCATTAATAGATACAACATCTAAATTTAATACTATTAGCAAGCACTTCTTGAATCTGATTATAGAGTAGAACCTGTAACTGATGGTATTGTAAAGCTCTATACAGATGCAATAGGCAAAATAAAATGCTTAGATTTACAATTTTTCTATAAAGGAAAATACCATAGCTTAAATGATACTGAACTAATAGACTTTGAAATTTGCAAAAAGCCAACATTCGATCTGATATTAGATCAAGCGTGGTTGCGGGTACATGAGGTAAAGATTGATATTCGCAATGCTAAAGTCAAAATGTATGGTATGAGCATTCCATTAATCGAAGAAAATTGCGATAAAGCCAGCTCTAGTGAAAATAACTTATCTAAATCAAGCATATCCAACTCATCCGATTCTGAAAACAGAGACAGATTCATCCGAATTTAATTCAAGTCCTGGGTTGGAGGAGTTTATTAATATGTTCAGCCACATAAGAGACCTTGCCACGCAGATGCGGAAGCATCCTCACTTTGTGAAAAAGAAATCCCTCTCAGATGTCGAAAATAATAAGTACCGAAAGAGGTGTCACAAAAAATTTTGCAATATACCTCCTGTACCTCTGGCACCCAGAAGATTGGATAACGATATTAGTAGGAAATTAAAAAGGCGAACCAGAATATGAAAAAACAATTTGCATGCTTCACTCACGAAGTGAGGCTATTCTGTAGCTAGATATGGGCAAATTTGACTCGAGTAGATTAGTATGTATATGATACTATGGGTAAGTCGAGAAAGAATAGGCGTAAAACAGCAGGTAAGTTCACCGATAATCTGACCCAGTATATGCAATTACTTAACTCAAATAAGTATGAGCATACATATGATTCTCGGAATAACTTCGTGATGGTCAAGAATAAATATAAGGAAAGTGTAGTGGGAGTGTTTGATTATTCCGAGTTATTGGTATATCTGAAAATGAATCATCCGAATTTATTGATCGCAAAATAAATCGCGATCTCAACTATCAGATTTTTTTCGTGCCTGTGATGTTGTGTGTCTCGCCCGTGATATGAGATATGTGTGCAAAGTCAAAGACGATCTCTGCTATGCCATATATAAATGATATATTAGTTAGTAGGATTTTTATTAATTTCACTGATCGTAAAACTCACCTTTCCTTTTTAATTTCGTTATTAAAAAAGAACCAAGAGTTATGCTAGCAATGAAAACCATTTTTAGTCGACGTATTCAAATATGTGGAAAGGTGAATGATTCAAATTTATCTTTTTACACGAGTTATGTCTACCAATATCTCATGCCTCGAAACATTTGCATTGAATATTCTTAAAAGTATATCTCCAGAAAAAATCGCAGGTGAAGTTAGTATCCTGAACTAGACTCATGCGCATTATGTAATCAAGAACTATTCGAATTTACTAATTTCCTTCCCAAGTTCTGATTGGTTGAGGATATTAAAGGTTAGTTTTAGCGTTAGGATTAAGGGTTGGAGTTAGGACTGAAGAAAAATTATATGTAAAATTATCTTCCTGACAATTTTTATTAGTGCTTCAAACCAGGTTTACCCATTCGTTTTCCGTATTTTCACATTATTCTCCTTTTTAATTTTCTTGTGTCAGATTTGTTTTTCTGGGTTGATCAAAAATTTATGCATTTTTATTGGTTGATTTAGAAGACCCGGTGTGCAGTCGACCAATTAGCGATGGAAATTACTTGTATCCAATCAGAACTTGGGAAGAAAATTAATACGTAAATGAAATAAAAAAGCCGATCACATTGCTTATCTGTGGTCATGTATATCATCGTGATTGTATCGAAAACTACGCGCCAGTGAATCTACCAGTAAATCATCCAGTAAGAAAACGAAGAAGCAGGTTCCTAAGGAAGATTCCCCCACGTTAAAAAAACTTATCAATGAATTATTTACCGATGTTTCAGAAATTTCTAAAGTTACAGTAGGTTATAACGAGAATGCGACTGATCTTTTGCAATTCAATGATAATATTACCTATGCAGAATCTAGAAATGAAAGCATCAATCAGGAAGTCATTCAATGCTATTATTCCTTTGGAAACTGTTTATTGCAACGTTTAAATTATTATAAAAGTTCGAAGCATGGGAACCAAGCATCGCAAGCAGTAGTAAATGAGGAGGTTCGAGAACAAATTGGAGGAAAAATCTCAAATGATACTTTACATAAAAGAACTGAAAAAGCATGAAAAATATTTGCTCTTTTTAATAGTATTTTTAAGATAGAGAAAAAGAAATGATAGTTCGAATTAGAACTTTTTCAGCATCATCTATTTCGAAATTGAGTTGAGAAGATATTGAATATATTAATTTGTTCTCAATTGTTAGTGTTCTCGTCTATTATATCACGTGATTACTACGCCTGTGAACTCGAGTTCACACTTAATAGTGTAACAAATTACATGTATATATAAAGTTGTGTGTCAGATCGCGCTTCACGTGATTATTTTTGACCAACATTAATCTATTTACCAGCATTAACCTTAACCTTAAATCTAACTCTAGTAAAACTATCATAATTTGGACCAAGCGCGATCTGACGCAAGCATCGATCTCGAGTACAACATGTATATTCACTTCTGCCAGAGCAGAACAATAGAAATGTTTTTAATGTGTTTTTACTTGTAATCTATATTCTAGCATTTTATTCAAATTGCGAAGTAGGTAGCTAATAAAGATGTTTTTCGTTATAAAAATTGGCTTTTATTTTTCGATCTTTAGATTCATTAAAAAACTCTAGCTTATAAAAAATCAAATTTTCTAATTTACTTGATCATTTGATTTAAAAACTTAACGCATAACAAAGAATGAATCATCTTCACCAAAATCGCTCTTTCGCACTCCCACCTTATTAAGTATCCAAGCAGTACCAATTGGTTGCTGTTGAGGTTGAGCATTAGGATCGAAGAACGCATTGGGATGAAGTGTGCGGATGTTTCTGCGTACGGTGTAAAGTTCGGTCACAGTTGAGAAATGAAATACACAGAGCGAATTTTCATCTCTTCGATTGTTTCGTCGGAGACTGTCAGTCGCAAATGCATTCATCACCGTTTGATAATTTTGCAATGTATGTTGATTTATCCAATTGTGATTTGGAGAAATTATGAGTACAGGATCAAACTCGTCAACCTTATCAAGTTGTTTATCATACTTTTCAATATCTTTCTCAGAGACTTTCGGGAGAATAGTCCTAAGAGCTTCTCGGGTGAATACGAACATTCTAGAAATACTGTTAGCTAACTACAATAGCTTGGATAAAATCATGCAGTATACTTACTCGTTTATGTTGTTTCCTGTGTCGTTTTCTAGTGAATAAGTTGCTGTGAAATTATTAGATTATCGGTTAGATAATGGCACGTAAATCTATTTAATTTATCGATATTGATGTCACAATACCTTTCGACAACAACTGAATAATACCAAATATATTAGCGATAATAAAAGCAAAGACGACGAATGGTAGAGCCTAAAGAATGTAACATTGGAAACAATTTAGAGGTTAAAAAAGTTGGCGAAGTGAGAGACATGTCATACAGACCAACCAGCCGAAAAAAGAGCACATTGGAAGAATCACGACAAATGTGAACCAGGTAAACCATTCAATAGGTGATAAGAGTGACACAAATGAAATAATTTTTTGTAGAAATGTAGTTTTGGAAACTGTCATTTCGAGAGTTAGTTTCGGATAACAATATTACAAATCAGCGGAGTCAATCATATTACTTGTCATATTTCTCTTTGTTCTTGGAAAAACATGTAGAAATAAAACTCAGCACAACATAGTCACTTTATAAATAGAAAAAAATTGATCAGTACTCCGCTGTGATGCATACAGTGGCGATCAAAAGTCTTAAATCGCAATATTCTCATACGAACAGGATTAAAAACATCAATTATAATTGATAGATTTGATTAAGTAATTAAGTATGAGTAATAGTTTTGAATACAATAAATTATCAAACCAATTACTTCACAATCACAGCATATGTTCAAATTTTGCTGTTGCATAACTTTTGTTTTTTTTTAGCATGAACCACATAACTTGGAATAAAAATAAAAATATTACATTTTCATAATTTTTTTCTACAATAATATAAACCAAATACCCTTTCACCATTTTGTATAGTCTCTTTGAGCTTTCATTACATTTTGAATTCATTTTGGCATAGAGCAAATTAAATTAGAATAATTCATATTGATTTCTTTTTATATTTATTATTTTTTTTACAAATTCTCTTTATTCAAAATTAATTCAAAAAGATACAAGACAATAATCAATTTCTTTTTGCAAATATTCAATTAAATTTAAATCTGAAAATTGTGATAACCAATTCAAAATAGATATATTATTGTTAACAAACCATTGATTTATTTGAATTACAATATGTTTAGGATCATTATCCTGTTGAAAAATAACATTATTGATAGCATATTTTGTTTTTAATAGTATTGTTCTCGTTAATTCAAAAATTGTTGAAATTAATGAATTAACAAAGTAACATAACAGTGAAAGAACAAAGAC